CCCCTCCCCTAAGCCCAACAGACTTACTAGCTGGAGGCAGCTGTATCAGCTGCCTGTTTAGTCTATGGCCAAATCGCCAAATCTTTTCTGCATCAATTCAGAGCTTTTAATTGGTCTCCTGAATTGATTCGATTCGCATTCGGAGATTCGTTCCCCGAATCGGACCATCTCCTCTGAATCGACTTGGCTACTGAAGCTTCACACACGCCTACAAATTAACTTTGCTGCAGGTTACTACTTGTAAATACAAGTGCTGTCCTGCGGTGGAGTTTTTTACGCTGCAGGAATACACACGTAGATGCTGACACAGCTGGCTGGGGCATGAGGTTGTTTTAGTGTGGGAGCTGCCTGCTGGCTAACCCTACACTGGAGCACATGCCCCAGCCAGCCCTTCCGCAGCACATTAAGCCAGGTTGGAGCAGCCCTGGGCTGCTCTGACATAGCTTAACATGCTGCGGGCCCAGGCATACTTGTAAACACAGCACCTGGGAGCAATAAACTCTGATACAATACGCACCAGAGTTTATTGCCTCACCTTAATACTACGTGTAGCTGCACCCTGCATGTTTTGTGGTGGAGAAAGCTAACTCAAGCACTCAATTTTGAATATATAGAAGAACAATTAAATATGTAAAGAAAAATTAATTGCAGTAGTCTAGTTCAAAATACTTCTTCCATGTTTCCTTAGGGCATGAAAATATCTCTGTTGTTTTTTAATCCCACCTAACACCCATCTTCTGTATTGGAACTCTCTTGGATTCTCCTTTGCACCTGAAACTAGGTTACATTTGTTCTTGACAATATTTGCTGTCATACTATTGTCTTTTTCAGGCAGTAATAGTACAGAAGTATTGATAGTCTTTTACAATTAGGATTATATCTTATACCAGAGCTTCTTAAGCTTTTTTATAGTGTGGAATAAATCTCGATGGGGAAATTGACTTTAAACCACCTCCTTTCTGATTTGTTACTGTGAAGATCACCTCCTCCTCATTCCAAATCATATAACATTCTCTTAGCTACTACAAAATAACTTATCTCTAAAAGTGCTAGAAAGATTTTAAGCTTTTCATTCATTTTAGCAGCTCAAGGAGGAGATGTAGTTCTCCATGATGACCCACAGAACACAGTTTAGGGAAAATGTTTATAAAATGCCATAGGTTGGGTAATATTAGTTTATCCGAAACAATTAATGGCTAGTTTGTATGTACTGAATATTTTTTATGCAAGAATGAGCAGAAACCATTCCTACCACTTCCAGTTTTGAATGAACCATGCTTCCTTCTCCATGGGTTGAATTGCATCTTTTTGGTGCAGAAGGATTTGAAAATCTGTACAGAGGTACATTCTTTTCTTGCACCTCAGAGAGCCCATCTCTTGGGATTCTTGGTATGGATCTGGGCAAGAGCAAAAAAATTATGCCCACACTAGGAATCAAGGGTTTCTAATACAGGCAACTCCCACTTAGCATGCTCTTAATTAGTTTCTGAAAAACTGAGCATTAAGTGAAACTGAAAGTATTTGTTGACCCAAGATGGAACTGCAACTGTTTTTAATGAGCCACAATGGCGACTGCAAGCATTATAACAAAACTCGCTGAGTGCTAAGTGAAATCAGGTATCAATTTAAAATGAGTGTTATAGCGAAATAGTGCTAAGCGAAACAGTGTTAAGCAGGTGTTGCCTGTACAGAGAGATTCAGCTCATTGTTCTCTCCCATCTTCCCATATTTATCTATGCTTGTGAGACCTGGCTAGAGTCTGTTCCTATGTCAGCTTGTTTTCTGGTTCTTTCTTAGCAATTCTACTCAATAATAGTAGGTTTATCTCTTCAATAGCTTGAAAACAATCTTTACCCCCTTCTAAATGTACTACAGTTTTAATTTATCTAGGTCTCTTATTGTTTTTTTTTAATTCCAGAACAGAATAAAAAGGAGCATCCAACCAGTTTGGTCTATATAAGTCATTATTTTTATGTGTTTGCACTGAGTTTTTTAATTTTTCTCTGGGCAGTGTTATTAAAATTGAGGCTATTTTGCATGTCAAAAGGCAATTAAGATTGCTCAGGCATGTGGCACTTGAAATACCCAAGACTTATCATACAGCAACTTTTGACAGTGGGTAGAAGAACAACATTACAGTTATGCCGGGATATATATATATATTTATGCTTCCTAAGCTGGGATCATAAGCCAATCACTGAAATGTATTATGAGTGAACTTTCTCTGTGATTGAAGCTTTTCCATAAATCTCTAATCCAGAACTCACAGAATCAGTAAAAGAATTCATGTCAGGTCATTTTTACCTCTATGATATACCTTGCATCTTTCCCTGGAGCTCTTGATAGTGTCTAATGCTACGTGTAAATTAGAAGACCAGATGCACTGCTGGTCTCATTCTATATAGCATTTTTTATGTTTCAGGGTTGGAAAAAAAGTACTGTGGGCTGACTAAACTCACGTAATGCCACCTGGAACTAAATGCTAGAGTGTGCTAATTGCTTTTTTTTTTTTTTTTAAACAAAAATGAAACCCTCAGTCCATTGTCTGTTCAGTCTATGAGAAAAAGACCATTGACAAATGAGCTATAATTCCCTTCCCAATATCCTAATATCTTGAAGTGTGGATTGAATATGCAGTAGAACTACATCTCAAAGTGTTTACAAGCAAGTTATTAATTTTGTGACATTGAAAATTTATTAAGGATTTTTTTGTTTCACTTTTTGTTCTTTTAAGTAAAAGCTTCTGTCTGTAACTATATCAATTTTTTTTTAATCTTTTAAACAAATGAAACGTGTCTTTTATTTTCTATCTTCTGTCTGGACCTGCAAAAAGGGAGTTTCTGTAAGCTAGATACAGCTCTTGAAGATGTGCGACCAATTTTGTAAAGTCTTGAACTTGTCTCTCTCATCAAAGCTACCTTTTCTTTCTTTGTACGCCAAGTTTTTTCATATACTGCTGGGCATGTTTTCTTTTCTTGTATATTACATCACCGCTATGTGCCCTCTCTGTCTTTTGTTCTGACTTACCAGTGTTTATCAAAACTAAAAGAAATCAAAGGTACAAACCATGAAATGCCAAAAGCAAAATTTGTATCCTTTTAAAGACAGATGAAAACCATACCCTCTGTATCTAATTATATTCTACAGCTAAGCATTACTTCTCTTAAATCTAGTGGTATTATTTACCCAGTATAAAATACAGTATGGCAATGTGAACTATTAAGTCTCTCTTTCCTTAGTAGTTTTTCAGGCATGCCCACCTACACATTTTAACATTTTAGAACTGAAATGTGGTTTTAAATCCTGCAGTGATACTGGAAACAGTACATCACTAGAATGCTACATATTATTACCATGCTTTCAGGAGTTTAATGTTTTGTGGAATTGTAGCTTTTATACGTTACCCCACCACATCCCAAAACTGTAACTTTACTTAACAGCACACAGAGTTCCTATATAAGGTCATGCGTTAAAAATTACATTTAAGGAGCATATGGAGTAAATATGTGTCCTCTCTTTACTAACTTTAAATGATAAGCCTTAGGAAACTGTTATTTGTCAGTGCTATAAAGCAGATTGCTGCCCAGTGTTTTCAATTATCTTCAAAGGGTTCTTCACAGGCAGTAATAGTTATATCAAAACCTGAAATTTATTATTCAGGTTCTACGCTGAAGTCTTCACAGTGATTATGTTCCTTTCAACAGAATGCTTTTTATGCTGACTTTTCACATTCTTTTTCATCTTTTTATTATTTCCCCAGAATGGCCACCAAGTTAATACGGCTCGTTAATGACAAGAAAAGGGCTGAGCAGGTTGGTGGCGGCCCCAAGCGGCTAGGCCAGGATGTGGAACTGGAAGAAATGATTGAGCAGCTCCAAGAGAAAGTTCGTAAGCTTGAGAAACAAAATGAGGGCATCCGCAACAAACTCATTTCAGCCAAACAGCAGCTTCAAGTTCAAGGCCATCGGCACGCACCATATAGCTATGTTCAATCTCGCATTAATACTGGTCTCAAAAAAGTGAATGAAACTGTTGGTATCCAAGACCATGCCAGGAAAGGTATAGTTAAAATCCTTAGCACTTTTAATATATAATATCCTACTCATTAGGGCTTCTCTGACGTAGCAAGAATGTACCAATTTCTCACTTCGTCTCTTGCATTAACATAAGTACTTTCAAGAAATGCTCAAAAACAGTTGTGTTTTTCCTTTGTAAAGTAGTGTCCTATTTATTATGCTATCTTGTTTGCAGTATACATCATCACTAGGTTGAGAAGCTATCATGGTTTTTCAGTTTAACTAGTTATCAAATACAAAGTGTTACAATATATTATCACTTCAGAGTTTTCTTATTTAAATTAAAGTATCTGTTAAGGGTAAGGGTCAAATATGACATATATGGTGGGGAGGAAAAAAGTTTAACCTTAACACATTACAGCAAAGGTCTACACTTGAACCTTGTTTGCACATATTTTTCCTTATTTATTTGTAGCACTGTCTTCTAGTCTCAAATACATGTGTGCACAATGTGACATAACTTTGAAAAAATTATTACATGCATAGATTTTGGAGGACATGTAATGAAATGCAGTCATACTTCATGGAGAGTCTTACATTTATGATATACTATTTTTGTGTGAGAAGAAGGGTTTGAACAAAAGTAGGAACAAGTTCTTGCTCTCAGTGCTGCACATTTTGTTGCAAATATATAAGAAAATTAAATTGTTGATATTTTAAATTTTCATGGAGAGAAACTTTAGAAAGTAGTTTTATTCAGATAATTAATTTTATCTATCCAAATAACTTAAAGTAGTTATTCAGAGCCTTTTCCAAAATTCTCTGACTCAACAGGAGTTTCTTATTAACTTCTTCAGGTTTTGAGTCGTGTACCTGGCTGGCTACATTACATATTTCTCCTTTTTCAAACTTTAGTTAATAGACTACCTGTGCCTTTGCAGTCAATCAGTATTAATATTCAGTTACTGCAGATGTTCAACCTCCCAAAAAATAAATGATTCTAACACTTTTAGATGGGCAGTAGTGTTTATGGAGTGTAAAATATTTAACACTCAGTCATTTTTGTTTTTTCATTGCTTGTGATGTTGACAATTATTTTTTTTATTCCCCATAGTAGATTTTTTTTTTTTTACAGTGCCTTAACTGGAGATAGTGCAGAAACATTATACCAAAAATATTCTATAATGGTATGAATTGCATTCAGTTTGCAAAATTAAACTGCCATGGTCTGGGCCTACTGCTGCAAATCTTGTTCAGTTATATTGTCAGGTAGAGATCCCTTCCATTTGTTTCATGACTCTATGTTGTAGTTAGGGTGCTACATTTTTATTTACTTACTTTATTCATTTGCATCCCAAAAAAGTTCTAATTTGCTTACTTCAAGGTAAATTTCAAACCGGCATCTAGGGAGGGTCTAGGCTAAAAAGCCAAGTGAAAATTTGAGTGTTATATCTGATGAGTCTGCACTTCTGTAAATTCCTTCTCTAAAGTTTAGGATGCCTTTTGTAGGGTTAGCAGAATGTAACACACAAATCAAAAGCTTACATCTTTAATAAGGTACCTTCTGCCCCACCCCTCCTCAGCAGGACAAACATACTATACTAAAGTGTTCGCCATAAGAGAGAATTTCTTGAATGCTCTCTCAACTGGTCCTTTTGCATAGTAACTGGTATAAACACTTTCAGTGTGGTTTGGGGAGTGTATCTAGGTTACTTGAATATCTGTGGTCTTTGTAAACTTTTGCAGTCCAATAATCTTACAGTAGCTAGAATTTTTGCTCATCAGGCTGTATTTCAAATTTACTTCTCAATAGAACAGAGGACTGCCATTGCAACTCTTCTGAGATGTTAGGTATGCTTGAAAAGATCTTTGTTTCCTCTCTTGTCCCAGGAGGCAAGACATGTCCTTAAGTAGTGCATCTGGGACAGCAATTCTTTTTAATGTAATTAATTAACAGCTTCAGGAACACCTTAGCAGACTACTGAGGTCAGTACCACTATTCAGATTGGTAACTAACAGCATTTATACACATACTTTTTTGTTCTGCAACGTGACTGAGATGTGCTGTTTTGGAGCAGACTCAATTAATCGAGTCTGCTCTGCACGCGAACTGAGGCAAACTGTGCTGCACCACATGCAGTTGTACAAGTAGCGAAATGTGCGTTTGTACACAGAAAATGGCAGCAGGGCACTTTGAACCAAAGCACCACTGATGTATTGTAGTTCAAAAGTGTGCCACTGCCCTTTTCTCAGCATTGATGCACATTTTACCACTTATACAACTGTAAGCATCTCAGTGACAGGCACTTTTTGAAAGTGCCTGGTGCTACAGCACTTGCATGTGTAAACATGCCCTGTAATCCTGAGTGAATTGCCTGATTAGTATCAAATAAGATTGCCTGGACATAATTTGCATGTTATGAATGAGAACAAGAGTTAAACAAGGAATACTCAAAATATCAAAGGTACTTGGCTGTTGCTTGGGATAACATAGCTAATTAGAAAGTCAAACCGATCTTTGGAAATATATAAAAGGTCAGGTCATATCAGTCCAAAAGGCGACTTAGTGGGCAAAACTGTTTATTTGGCCATTTCCTGAACTTGCCAGTGTTCTTGTATCTTAAAAATCTCATAACTCACTATTGTGGGTAGCTGTGCTGGACACACTTCGACCCCATATAGTTTGTCTTTGTCCCTCGTTTGTTGAATGTGGTATATACTAAGCTTAAAAATGCACAGTGAGCGTAACGCTCCAACCCTACTATAATTAGAAAGCCTTTAAGTAGTGTCATCTGGCTGACATCAGGCATGGGGGAAGCATGTTATATTTTGAATAACCATAGAAGCTAATCAGATTTTAATGATCACAAAAGAAGGTACCCATGTAGATGTATTTCACCTCTTTAGTATGTGTGCCAATTAATTGTTATTTTGTTGTTGAACCTTCCTTCAAATGTCCCTGTCTTCCTCAAAGACATATCTCTTACCATCTTCCAGGTGTGATATGACATCCTTAAAACTTCTTACTCATTATATTCTTGGCAGTCCCGCCAAACCCAATACTATCTTCCAGGAAGGGAGACAGAAGTGGGGACTTTATTAAACAAACTGCAGGTTGAAAGGGATGGAGGCCTGGTAGAGAAGCTGAGTTGTCAAGCCAGTGGTAGTGGAATAGAGACTTGAGTCTATCCAACACTTGCAGCTGTAGAAAGCTGGCGGCTGCACTGGTTGAATTCTGGAAGGTGCATCTGTAGAGATTGTTTTACACATTGATGCACTAATTGCTTGATGCTGCAGGTGCTGATTTGGGTACGCTAGTGCTTCAGTTACTGTTCAGCTAACAAGGCTGTTCAAGGAAGTTGTTTCTAGCTCGTTTCTTTCAGTGGGATTTTGTAGAGGCAGTGTCTTGCAGGAGTAAAAAAACAGGGTATTTCCCAACAGTAGTTCACTAGGTGCATTCCTTCATAAAGTTACACTGACCGTCCCATGTTCACACTAATTTAAAATTTAGTTCCTTTCTAATGCTAGAATCTAAAGGACCTTTAAATATGCCTGGTATTAGTCTATGGCATGTTAAGACTTAGGGTTCTGTAGCTTCTTCTATCAGTAGCCCCTCTAGTGTTACTCTGTAGAGGTAGAAAAAGTAAGAGGCCAGAATAATTACTGGTGAATAACTATTTTTAACATGTCTTTAGTGTCAAGTCTTTTTGTACTGGAGCTGACCTCTGTATTCTCTCGTAAATTAACATAAAACTATGTAGATGGCCCATACCAAAACTTATTTATGACATCTCCCTGTAATTGTGTGTACTTGATAATGTCCTCAGTGTGGTATTGATGTATGAGTGATGTAATGCATATTCTGAATTAATATTATCATATTCTATAATTTATTTGATATAAGAAATACCCTTTATATTATCTACATACTAGCCATAGATATTTATATTGTATATCTGCTTCCTTTAATAAAGATTAGTAAATGCTTTTTCATTAAATTTAATATAAAAAATATAAATCTCTAAAATTGTTGTTGTTTTAGGAATGAGATTTCAAGATTTAGAACTAAGATCCCCTCAACCCATACTCCCAAGATATGGACACAGTTTGCTTGAAGAAGCAAGGGCTGAGAGAAGAAATCTGTAGGTCTTTTTATTATTTTCTATAATTTAAATTTATTGAAGTAAGAGAGGCAGCACATTTTTTCAAGACCTATAGCTCTTATAAATATGGGGCTTTAGGTTCTAAAACTGCTAACCGTGATACCAGCAACACTGCCAAGAATTCCAAGATTGGAAAAAATAGATATCCTTTTATAAATTGCAGTAGAGAAGGGAATTTAGTGTGGTAGACTGTAGATATAGTAGAACCTAGAGTTTTTGCAGAGTTATTTGCCTAACTCACCTATCTATATCAGGGTTTGTATATTAATGAGGGTTACACCAAGCCACGGTGACCAGCTGCACAGAACTGCCAGAATGGTCCAACTGTTTATTGCAATGTTTATTTCAAGGTGTACTCCTCTTCCAGTCAGCTCACGCAACTCCTAATAAACTCCAGCAAATAGCTGAGTAGCTTATCCCTACTTGAGCCTCTTATTGCAAATTAAATAATTTGAGAACTGCCCTGATACAAATATTCTACATTGTATTTTTCTCTAGTTACAGTATGGCCAGGAGTTAAAATTACCTTAGGGATTTTATTAACGGTAGGTGGCAAGAATGTTAGTTTTGTTTCATTAAAGCAATGGTAATTCCTGCATGATAGTGTCCCCTAGCTCCTGGGTGAAAAGAAGAGCCTCAATTGCCTCTCTTACTTCATTTTCCTGCTATTGCTTTAAGTTCCAGTAGCTTATCACTATACAACAAATAAGCTTGATTCTAGTTAAAAGACTGATTTCAAATCATGCTATATAAGAATTATACTATATTATTGAGTAAATATGCAGTAATCTATGTTATCCAGTTAGGTTCCCCTTCCTTTGGAAGCTGGTGTCCTAAATCTCTGAATCCCAGAAGGCTGGCAAGGGCCAGAGCTATATACATTGAGTGTCTGATCTTCTGTTTTCCTCAGGAACACATCATCTGTGGTAATAAAACTGATAAATGCAAATTTATGATGCTTCAAAACACAAGAAAGGGTTAAAAGCCCAATATTTTCAGGGGTTTCCAGATCCAACACGGCTTACAAAGAACTAACCACAGATGCTTTGACCTCAAGTTGGGGCACCCATCTTAGACACTAGTCAATAGCAAACATATGGTCAGACAAACTCAAGATACAACATATAAATCTAGTAGAGTTAATAACTACCAACTGTAGCCAACTCACCAAAAGTTTTATAGTGGAAAAAGCTTGTAATAAAGACAGACAACAAGGTAACTACAAACAGTATTGCCTCTGTGAATACAGTGGGGAAAAATCTGAGATTACTTTGCCAAGAAACAGTCAAAATCTGGAGGAACTCAGTTACCAGTATACCCTTTTCTAATGTATGTGATGTGTTGACATGATCATCCCTTGGTGCAAACCCAGATCAGATGACACTCAATTGAGATATCACCTCTACAAAATAAAGTCTACTGTTCATAAAAATTAATAATTTTGATTTGGAACCCCAAATTGTACTGGCCAACACTGTCTATCTCTAAATATAGGAATAAAATGGGGTTCCTTGTTTTAGTCCATTAAAAAGATTAACGTATCTATCTTTAAGCTTCAAAATGTTTTGGTGCCATAAAGTTAAGAATGTCATGCCTACTATGTCATGCCTTAGTCAGCAACTTTATGCTGGACAAATGAGAACTTAGTTCTATTGTAAATGTGGCTGATATATGAATATCTAATGTTTCTGATCTACATGATCTAAGTATGAGCATAATACTACATTTTCTCATATATCACATCCACAAATAAGCCCTGCACCTTGTTTTTGGAATATAGAAAAAAGAGATTTTTCCAGAGTCATGACCAACTGATAAAGTGTCCAGGTAATGTGGCATCCCAAGAAACAGTCTAAGGGAGGCAGCAGGAGTTTTTTGGTATGGCAAGACAGCAACAAATCTAGGCTCCACACTTTTGCAAGATCAACAATAAGACTGTTACTTCTTTACTGTAAGTAAATATTTATACGAGATTGTGTAAATAATAAAGGGTTGCTACCACACCACAAGTCTCATCAAAATACTTCAGACTTCATGCAGCAGTTCACTTGCGCTGAGCCAGGTCATTTGCTGTTTAGGCACAAGCTACAGTATTCAGCCAATAGCTATGGCTGTTAGAGGGTTAACACAGGACTCTGCCCCTTCAGCTGGCTGGGCCAAAGGCAACTGGGAAACACCTTGGTAGCCATTAGAGCACAGTGTCTTCATGCTTCTAGTCCAGCAAAGAAAAATCAGTTTCCCCACTTAAAATACACACCCCAATTTTGAAGGGCTGATTTGGGGGGAAATGGTGCGTGGGACAAGTGAGAAAATACAGCAACTCAAATTTCTAAAATTTACTTAGTAACTGTATTTGAAATAAGATTTGAAATAAGAGTGACAGTATATAAACAAGGGTGTAGGTTGTAGCCGTGTTGGTGTAAGGACATAGGCAGATGAGGTTTGTTGGCTAAATCTGATACCTTTTATTAGACCAGCTCAAACACTTGGAAGAATTCTTCTTAGCAAGCTTTTAGGTACAAACACCCTTTGTATATAGAAAATACTTTTTTCATTCTGATTTCTTTTTAGTATCTGATTTTTCTGTTTAATATAGTACTTATTAAAAGCCCTATGAATACAAGCTATTTTGTTGACTTGCAGGGAGAATGTAATAGAGTCACAAAGGGGACATATTGCAGAATTAGAACACACTGGTGAGATGCTCAGGAATCAGCTAAAGAAGAAAGAAACAGAGTTTGAAGAGTCCCTTCTACAGCTGAAGGAGCAACAAGCAACAGGTCAAAGGTATTACTGAACAAATGAATTTCCATATCGCAAAACTATAATGCTTTATATATGTATTAGAGAAAATTACAAAAAGAATGATTTCCTTATTTATATAGGCTCCATAATTTCTTCTCTCTCAAAACTATCCAAGGCACAAAATGCGGTTTGTTTGTTTTTAAGGACAAATTACATTTACTTTATGTCTTTGTTTGAAGAGCAGTTCTAAGACATGCAACCAGTCTTGCTTTGCATAGTCTATCACTAGCCAATTAGTTTGCTGAAAAGACTCCAAGATAACACAATATTTTGAGCTAAGTCAAGTGAACAGAAACCCCACAATCACTTCAAACTGCAATCTCTAAAAATACATAATGACATCCCAAAAAGCTCATTACATTTTGAACCACTCATCAGTTCCTTGTGATTTTTTTTTAAACCTCTATCTAGATTCTTAAATGACTATCTTTGAATGTTTATTAATCCTCAGTGATACTTTAGAAGCTTCTGTGTAGTAAAATAATGGTCTGAAAAGGCAGCCATAAATGCTTGAAAGAAGGTGGCAGGGAACCCTTAGTTGGTATGCAAAATTAAAGATTGTTGTGAGCTGTGTATTTCCTATTTCTTCTCCCTAACTTTTAAAATTTTTCTTCCCTGATTTTCCTTTCTCTTTATGTTTCAATGTATTTTATCTTCCCTTTCCCTAATTTAATAGTTCTTATGTTTCTTTATCTCTTGTCCCCATTCTTTCTTTCCCTTTTGCCTCTTTTCTGCTGTTTTTTTCAGCTCAACTCTGTCTTCTTGTGGAGCTACTTTCACTACTAACTTTGTCTGGAATATTCTTTGTTTTCAGCCTATTCCACTCCTGTATTTATTTCTCTTTTTCCTCCGTTTCCTAATATCTTATCTGCCTTCCACTAATCTTCCTCCGTGCAGTCTTCTTACATTGTTCTCCTGAATGTCTACATCATCCCTTCAGTAAATTATTGTACCGTATTTTGCTTTTTTTCTCAAATGCAGAAGTTTTCTGGAGCAGCCATTATGGTTTTTGTTATGTTTGGTTAAGCAGTTATCTACATTTTTATGTTGAAAAATAATTTTCACAATTCTATTTACTATGGGATTTTTGTTACAGTTCTGAAAATTTTAGTTGAATCAGTATCTAAAGAAGTCTCTCTCCCAGTATGGGGCTGAAGTAGTCATAGCATACCATAACTCCACGTGGAAGAAAATGTGAATATTGTAAAGAAGCTAAATCTTTAATATGCTAGACATTTTCCCAAAGGTTATGCAGTAATGCAGATTTTTTCTTCTTTAAGAGTTGCATGGGACAAATCGAAGCGATCGATCTTACTGTATTAATATATTACAGTATTACTTGCTCTCCTTTTCTCAACTTCTGTCTGTTTTACCAAGTTCACTGTTGCATGTTGTTACTTTCATGACATTATTAGGAAGTTGTAACTGATCTGTGTACAATTTTTTCATGACATAATATGCAGATAGCTTTAAATGCTATTAATGGAAATCAGTTGTTTAGAAAGAGTCGTCATCATCAATTCTAGATGTATTTTAAAGTATAAGGATTGATTTAATTTTTTGAAAATGTGGCACATAATGTCAAGTCTTGTGTGTTTCATTTCTACATCTGAATGTTGCTTTTCTAGATACTGCAATTTCTTGAAGTACAGTAGCCAGAAACTAATAAAATAAATTATATTTGATGTCAGCTGACATACATTTCAGTAACTCTCTAGAAAATATGCCCCAAATTAATTTAGTACTTTAGAGAGATATTCTAAATGCATGCCATCTGTATTAATATTGTAAATTTTTAGTTGTGTTAATAAAATGAATTGTATAGATACCAGTAGTAATGTTAAATCTAGATGACTGCTGTTGGCATGTAAAATTCAGGTTTGAAGTTCTGGAAGTGTATATCCTAGGTATTTTATTCTTCATTCAAAGTGCTAGAAGACTTAGACTACATATTAGTAATGCTAACCATTTATGATATGTGGTCTTTACAGAAAATATTACTGAAACTTGGCATTTGGTGTTTGACTATTTTAGTTTGTTGCCTTCCTGACAAACTTTTGGTCATCAGATTTCCCTTATTTTGAAGTTTGAACTAAAATTCCCCTTTTATTAAAAACACATTCTTGTTATCCTTGTTGCCCATAGTGAACAATAACCCACTTTTGTGTTAACAAAAGTCTTGTATAGCTTGGATGTCTGGAAGCTTGGACCAAATTACATTTAAAAATGTAAACAAAAATTAATACATGTAGTGCAAGGCCTTCTTTTAGAAAAGGCAAACTAAACATAAAAGAACTCACTGGAACCATGTGCATAAGGATATTAAAAACAGAAAATATAATTTTAGGTGGATAATAAATCATAAATGCTATCAGAACAGTTACAAAATGTGTTAATAGTTAGTCTTAGCTATGCCTGGGGAAAGACATGGGAAAATATCTAAAGGAATTCTAACTTATTTGATCCAACAGTATGAGAGAGTTTTGTATATTCCGTCCTTTCTAAAGTGCTCCCTCACTTAAACGGTTTATGCAATGCAATCTCTGTGCATATGCTTCAATACATATTTTTATGTACAATTAACCAAAAGTAGAAGTACAAGGATACCGTTTCTTAGTTCTTTTCAGATTTGGCAGAGATCTTCTCACACAGGAGTTTTTCTCCTGGGATCTCTGCAACTGTGTTAATACAGGAAATACAATTTAATTTTGAATTTTGATACAGAATCACATTACGTGTCATTTTGAATTGTAGGACTTAACTGAATCTAACCTTATCTCCTCTGAAAAGATGTAAGAAATATCATTGCAATATAAAAGGCTATAGCTATTAAAAGCTGCTCACACTAATATGGAAGTTTGGAAAACGAATTATGTGTTTCTTCATCCTACTTTCATATCAAGTGTTCTGAAATTTTTATTATATCTGAGGTCCCCTCCTTGTCTTCAGTTAGACTACACTTGGCTGCCATCTGGGCATATCATTCTCCAAAAGGCAACGCATCTGCTATTAGAAATATGTTGCCTTAAGAATCTGATAAGTGTCTCTCAATTCTTGAACTTGTCCCACAATATCATCTCAGCCTGTGCTCAGAAAATTAAGATGCTGTGAGCCTTTAGGAGAAAATTCTTTATGTTCTTTATAGTTAGGAGTATTTATGATTGCAATAATGTTTTCAAAAAATGAGAGAGGTACAGACTATAGTGGCTTTTCTGTGGGCTGTTCTAACTTGAACTTGACATACCTCAGCTTCCAAAGTCCCCTAGAATGCAGGAAGCACACAGGTAATTTAGTTACCTTCTTGCTTCCCCATCTCCTTCCCTATTCTGTGCTCCAGTTTTTATGTAGAGCTTGAAGGATCATAGCCTACAATCATAGCATATAATTCAACAAGGTTATATTGTGCCTTTATATAATTATTGTGGCACTTGGTATCATTGCTTCAGTTACTTTTGTTTCTTAACATTTCCATTAGAATTTTTTAGGGGCATATAACTTTGACTGTTTTGAATTATAAGAGGGAGAAACTTGGCACGTGGATTGTTAGGCTGGAAGCAGTTTTCTTAAACACAAAATATAATTTAATTTACTTTGGTTGCTTTTAATTTAGAGATGGGCAAAAACATACTAATCTTATGGTCAGATGATTTCTATGGTGCACACTGCTGAAGCTAAAAAGCTTTAACTCTGAATAGTTAGATTTGCAAGCAGCTAGTCCTTCAAATAACTTCACTTGTATTTCCCAAAAATATATTTCAAGATAGTTTCGTGGAAGAAAACACCCTAATCTTATTGCAGTTGATCAACATTTTTAGTTCAGACAAACTGCAGGTTCAGCCCTGTTGAATATGGCTTTATATGGTCCATGAAGTACTTTTTACTGCAATTTTTGCATTGTAGCAGTTATAATCCCAGATGAGAGAGACTCAACATGATATAACTAATATGGCTAATAACTAATTCATAACTAATATGTTCTGAAATATGTAATATTTTCCTTTTCTTCTGTTTTACTGTTGGTTCATTATGTAGAAACGTTTGCGATCTCCTGCCCTACTTGGTATAGCAAATAGGTATTGTTTCAATAAATATCCATTTACTGCTCTCAGTCTTGCAGTATTGTCCTAGTCATATGGAAAGAAAGATGAGATGCAAGGAATATGGTTTAATTAAGCCACAGCTTTATTAGCCAAATCATCTGGGAATTACCTGTAAAGCTCATACAGCATAGGTCATGATTCCTTCCTTAATCATTCCCATCTGATGGAGTCTGTCCTCAGTTTCCATCCCTCCACAGCTGGTCCCCAGCCTATTGCTAGGACACTACTACACTTTCTTCATGCAGGGTATAATAAGCTGGGAGAGAATATTGTTTTCTTGCTGTATCAATCATTAAAACTGATCTCATTCCTCAATATTTTTAGGGGGATTCCAGACCCCCATCCTAATTCAGGCGTGAGAGGAGACTGAAAGGGTAGGCTATCCAAGTTCTTCCTCCCTTGATATGTGTAGAGCTAGTGCCCATCAGTCTTGAATGTCTCCAGTGTGCCCACTATTTCAGGATGACTCCAAGGGTGGGGGGCCTCTAAAGGAGCCACTGCAGTTGTTTCACTGCCAGACCAGATGATTCTCCCTTGCACTGAGGTTTTACAAATTTAGTGGTTCCACTTTTTGCAATTCTCAGTCACATAAATGTAAATCAAGAAAAATGTTCCTAGTTTCACTGCTGTAGGTATATGGAAGTGAGAGAGAGTTAGAGCCATAGTACTAAATGAACTTTCTTAATACCTAGTTCCTATTTCTTCCCAGAAAGAAGGACAAGTAATGAGACTGTGCTTTGTGCAGGTGAAGAAGCTTCTGCCAAATATTCCCATTGCTACCTGCAGGCTTTGTGGTCTGTGCCTATGCATGTCATCAGGCAGGTTATAGCATTTTTAATAGTAGTATTAGAAAGATGTTGCATGCCTAAGAAAACAACTTAAAGCATTAGCTTTTGTTAATGTTAAGGAGATATTCAGACTTGTACATTTTTTATTTTTAAACAATGTATAAATAAGCAATAAACATTTTAAAAAATAAATAGCATTTACCTTCAACAGCTAGAAAGTTAAATGTTGTTTAAATTGTCCAGTCTAAACTCAATCCTAATAAATAACTTTCCCACATTTGAGATGTTAATAATAAAACCTATTCAAATAAAATACTATATAATTTAGTGCTGGGAAAAAAATGGTTAATTTTGATTGTTAGTAGTCATTGGATTTACATCTGCACATCATAAATTCACTATAATCTGTTCTTTCTTTTACTTTAAATGAAAAAACCCTCCTGTAAAAGGCCTTTGAAGGTATCAGAGCTGTTTGTTTGATGTGTGGAAAAAGATTTTTAAAAATGTGCCACTATGTCAGCTTTTAAATAACTAGCATGAGACAATGATGTTGTGTATAGTCACCACAACTTTAATTTCTATAGATAACATGTTTTAGACACATGATTATTTTAACATTGCATTAGGGCTGTTTCTTGGGGAAGACCCTAGGTCTGTATGCTTGTTTATCTTCTATGTAAAGACAATTAACTTGTGAATGCCAAAACACAGTGGTCTTTGATACACTAAAGAATAAAATAAGTATTTCAAGTTCTCAGCTGGTTTACAGATGTGTAAGCTTTGTAGTCCATTTTCTCATTCCAGCATGGCATTGTGACAATTTTTCCAGTATGTCTGTGATGGATATGTATTAGAAAAAATATATACATTTCAAGCACTAAAATCGTGTTCTGAATTTATCAGACTTTATTTTGTACTTGTATTTTGTACTAAACACAATTCAGGGGTCTCTTACTTTTGCTTGAAGTAGATGCAAAAAGTAATGATGGAGGTCATCTTTAATTGTTTGAGATTTTTAAAAAATGAGACAATTATTCATCTAGGTGTCTGATTACCTTTTTAACAAGATTTTTCTATTAAACAGTACATTCTCAGCTTCATCTCAGTAGAGGAAATGTATAAGAGAGTTCTAGCCATATAGAATTTCTGTGTGGATATTAAGTGATTTTTACAGAGTTTAAAATACATCTGTACCTCATTTGAATGCCAGTCTTAAGGCATTATCAGTATAAAATGTTAAGTCAGTTTTCTTGGAAAAGTTAAAGCTCCAAGAGGAAATTCTAATAAGTAGTAATCCTATGATGCCACATACTTTGAAAAAGAATGGAGAGATTATAATACAAATTATGCCTTCTCTTTAAGCATAGGCTTTCTCCTTTCTCGGAAGTCTAGTTTGATAGTATAAACGAATATGTCCATGTAATGATTGATGCATGCATAATTTTCTAGTAGAATTACTTAAAATCTATAATGCAGTTTTAAAAAAAGGGATTTTAATTTGGCTGTTTCACACTAAAGCTTCCCTCATGTCGCTTGTGGAAGAAAGAAGCCATGGAAAACTGATTTGCAAAGGTTTTTAAACTTTTCAAAGCAAAACTAATAAAGAGAGCTCTTCTTATACCTTAAATCTCACCATGAGGGTTTTTTTCTTTTACAATTTTGAAGGTTAAACATTCAGGACAATGTGGAAATGATCAAGCTGAACAAACAGTTGGTTGAGAGAGGCAATACTCTCACAGCAATGAAAGGAAAATTTCTCCAGCTTCAAGAGGTAATTATAACAATCTATATAATATACCATTTCATACACCAAGTCCATGAAGTCCTAAAGATTTCACTTGTCTTTACAGTTTATTCTAGAGAATTCAGCTTTTCATTGGAATCCAGTTTTTGTTTGTATAGGTTAAATACCATTTTCTAGGAATGCCTGAGAATTTGTAAAATTGGGGTTTTGTGAGGAAGTAAAACAGTTCTTATTTTTAATATCAATTTCAAGTCAAAACTGACTCTTGGTAAAGCAGATTTGGCTACTAAGAGCTTTGAGAGTTAGCCTGAATTGCATCCAGAATTTAAAGACAAAGGACAAATTCAAATAATGGATTTAACTATAAAATGAAGCATAAAATAAGTAAAAATAAAAATAATAAACATTGTGGATGATAATAAAAATCAGGCTTATGACTGTATACAAATTCCATACAGGCTTTTCAGATTTGTCTTCCTGCCTCCTTCTGGTCTTCCCCATCTTGTTCCTGCTGTTCCAAGGGACCAGGAAGAGGTGGAACAATGTTAGTGAAGCTACTAACCTTTCTCTCCTAAATGGAAATCAAAATATCTCTGTGCTATGTGGACCCTGAACATGATGAACCTAGAGTATCCCCACTTTGATATGTCATATTAGCTGTGTATTCAGTTAGAATGTATAGCTTGTATAGTGTTCCTCATATCTGCTAAGAATAGAATTTACTTCACAGTGGGTGCACTTTACTACAGAGCTGACTAACTAGCTCCACAGTAAAGCATCACCATCTACACATGTGCCTGTATTAGGACACAGTAAATTAATTAACTCTGCTATAGAATAGTACTGTTCAGTAGGGCTGTGCAAAGCTTTGCTCCCTGATTTGATTCAGCAGAGATTTGGCCTGATTCGGTGGCCAAACCTCTGAATCTGAATAGAAACAGAGGACCCTTTAATCTCTCCAAATTGAATTGGAACCCTCCAAATCGATTCAGAGAATTTTGGAAAGATTCAGAGATTCGGACATAGAGACAGCTTTAAATGTTTTTTCTACATACCTGTAGGTAGCAGGGACTCGTGAGTGCTGCAATGCTGAGGCTCATGGAATGTCCCACGGAAGCATGGGGGGGCTCCCCAAAGTGCTCGGCAACAGACCCAGAAGTGAACCAGAAGCACTTCCAATCCACTGGAGAGTGCATTGGGGGCCCTCCCCCCGTGCCTCCCTGGCTTGGCAACTGGTGCCTTCTGGGTCTGGCGGGG